GCCCAATCTAAAAAGCATCACTGGCTACCTGGGCCCATGAGCGGGGCTTCCCCCCCCCAGGTGACCAGAGAATCCGCATCCGAGGCACCAGGCTTTTGTCATGTAGAGGGAGGGGGGGGAAGATCCCTGCCGTGAGGGATTCAACACCAGCCTGTCACGCTGGCAGAGACAGATCTCTGGAGACGGGCACAGACGGTGCCATTTCTGCCACACTGCCGTTCTGCTGCAGTCTCCCAGACTCTCTCTGCAGCTTGGATCGTTTCTCCCTTGGGCAGTACTCTGCATGTCTCTGCACCGCATTGCCCGGTGCTGCCTCCCACCCAGCTTTCCAGTTTGCCAGGGTTTTTCTGGACTCTGCTCCCCTCTGCCAGCCTGTTCGCAATCCTACCCCATTTCATGTCCCCTGCAGCCTAGCCTCAGCAGCTCTGTGCTGGCATCCAGGTCCTTAATAAACATTATGCACAACCCTGGTCCCAGGACAGAGCCCTGTGGGACGCCACTGGAAACCGCTTGGTATTCAGATGTCGATCTGTTCGTAATGACCTGTATGGATGGGGCAGTATTGCCTAGTGGCAAGACACTAGGGGTGCAGGTGCAGCCTAGGTCAGTTTCCCCAGGGAGTGGGCCGGAGTTCGGCAGGGTCTGGCATCCACCCAGGATCTGGGAGCTGTAGCCTAGGCCGGACGGCTGGGGTCAGAAGGTGTAGCTGGAGACAGACGGAGCTGAGGGTAACCGGGATCAGAAGCCGAATGCCAGAGCTGAGGTCTCCCTAGAGCTGGAGCCTGGAGCCCTAGATCAGCACAGAGATGCATGGACGGTTGGGACAGGAACCTCCCCTTGGTGTTCACAGGGGGTCTGTGGTAGGGCCTGGGGCTGAGGGCTGCAGCAGGCCAGACCTTTGCTGGTGGGCCGTGAGCTGGTTCTCTCTATGCCTGGCCATAGGTTTGCCCAGTGCACATGTCTCCAAGCTGTGTGAGGAGGTCATGCAGGACCCGCCCACAGCCTGGCCACAGCCCAGACACGCAATGCCACAGCAGCCCTCTGTCCCCCACCAGTTCCCCTGGCCAAGGAGGAAATGGAACTTGTTGCACGCGATTTGTTTGTTATGAACCCACGTGGCTGCTTGTGCTCAGCCTTTCCTCCTCCACGCACTTGCACAGGCCCTTCCTCAACATCTGCTCCAGTGGCTTCCCAGGTACGGAGGTGAGGGGAACGGGGCTGTAGCTCCCCGGGTCCCCATTTGTCCTTTCCACCAAGGGGCACTGTGCTGGCCCTTCTCCAGGCCTCTGCACCTCACCCGTCTCCCATGATCTGGTCAATATTGTTCCCATGGGCCAGTTCCTTCAGTCCTGTGTGGGGAAGCTCCTGAGGCCCTCCTGAGCTGGATGCATTTAGACCCATCCGCCTGCCTAGGAAAGGACTTGGGGTGAGCTCTGGGGCTGGACGACCCGTCTAGCTGGGAGAGAGGGGAGAGGAGTGGTGGTGCACAGAGCGCCCTTCCTCTAGGCTTGAGAAGAAGCAATGTCAGGGTCAGCTCAGCACCCGCTCAAGCTGAGAGCAAAATAAACCACAGGCTGTGGGGGATCTCATGACCTTCCTGTGCCAGGAAATCTCATGCATTTCTTTGACCATTGCGGTGAAAGTGATGCTTCAGCCCTTCTGCAGAAACTGTGATGGTCTTTTTAGGGCATGCATGCACAGACTTGTGCCCTGGATACGGGAGGGTGTGGAGGGTGTAGGAGTCTATGTGGAGGAGGCTGACCCATGCCCAGGTGCCTGTGAGCCTTGATGGGGCAGGTCCTGCATTTGGGAGGGTCCTTTTCCCTCTCTGTTGTTCAGTGATGGGCCCTAGAGCCCAGACACAGCCCAGGAGACCCTGTTGTTGAAGCCTGTGCCCTGGTTACACTGGCTATGCCTGGGTCTGGGACAGACAGAGGCTGCTGGTCCAGGCCTGGGCTTACTCCGCATGTCCTCTCAGATGCCAGCCCCTGGCCCTGGGGACCTGCCTGGGGAGGGCGCAGCCATTGCTGCTGGAGCCAATGGCAGGGGCCCG